ACATGAAATTATTAGGTAGTCCTTGTATGGTAAATCAATTCAGAAAGATATATTCACAACTAGACATTTATGGAATGAAGCAACTTTAAAGGCTAACTTTGATTCACGTGTTAAAACCTATGAGAAAATTAATGATACTCAATATATTGTTGAAACAGAAATTGAAGAAAAAGAGATTACTACCGAAGATAGTAAATCTACACGACTAACACCTAGTCATTTGGGATCATTCGTTTTATCTCACAGTAAAAAAATAACTAGAACCGTTATAACGTTACCGAAACAGTGCGCATCCAACCTGATACATCGATAAAACGTTGCATTTTAAAGTCACAATGGGATTTCTTACCGGAAAGAAAAGCATGTAAACGTTCAATAGTAGAAAAAATCGTTTAAACCGTTTACCGTTCGGTAGTGAAAAGACGCATGAATTTGACACCATTCGGTACTAAAAGGTGTTAACATTCGGTAGTAAAAAGTCGAATTTTCTAATAGCTGTAGAGTTAAAAGTTCAATTCGCACAACAAAAATGAAAATATTTTTGGAAAGGTACAATAATTTGTGTTTCGGCCAAGAGGTCAACAGAGGTCAAATAAAAGAGAATATAAGCCTTAAAAGTGTTGAAAATTGCTGTTTTGGGACGTTTGTAAAAGCGAAAATATATGTCGGACATCAAAGATAAATGTATGAATGGACATCGTAGATCAATAACCTTTGACCTTCTAAAGACCAAGATTATGCATGTAAATGGTCAAAATGATCAACATTTTATAAATTGTAAATCCTATTCCCTTTTTTAAAGTAAAAGGCCTAAACAAAATGTAACTCTATCAGATATTGTCCCAAATAGTGCTCTAATTTTTTGTAAAATTTCGATGGTGAAAAATGCAAACTTTTCGAGTTATAACAATTTGAATCATTTATGGTAAAGGTAAAAGTAACCCGGATTTGCCACGCCCACTGCAAAAATTTTGTGTTGTCTGTAATAATGTGTACAATGTCAAATAATGTTCAAAATGTCAAGTGTTTACAATCATTAGATCATGAGATATTCGTAGTTAAAAGTTTTTTCTAAGGCAACGGTAACTGTCGGTGGATTATAGAAACCGTTAAAATTACGCAAAGTTACTATAGAAGTCAATACAAAATTTTCAAATTCAATTTTAATCAAAATACCAAGTGTTATATATCATTTGAAAGAATAGATTGCGTGTAATAAGGACAAAAGATAAATTTTCGCTTATGTAAATTAGGTCACGTGATAGACATTTTTTAAGTTAAAAATCGCGATTTTCAATTGGCTGTAGAACCGGAAGTTAACGGAGCACGACAAAAGTGAAAATATTATCGGATATATCTCGTAATGGGCAACAACCTTTGTTCAGGTCAAAAGGTCAACAAAGGTTAAATAAAAGTAATATGAGCCTTTGAAGTTTCAAAAATTGCTGTTTTCGGACGTCTGTAAAACCGGAAGTATATGTTGCACATCAAAAATCAAAGTAAGAATGGTCATCTTAGATCAATGACCTTTGACCATGCAAAGGTCAAGGTCATTTATGTTAAAGTTCAAAAATGAAAATTTTTAAAATTGTTAAACCTGTTCCCTTTTTTAAAGTAAAGAACACATACAACTGTAATCTTATCACAAATTGTCCTAAGCAGTGATCTACTTTCATGCAAAATTTCTAGGGTGACAATTGCAAACTTTGCGAGTTATGACAATTGCAAATATTTCAGGTAAATGTAAATGCCCACCGGATGTGCCACGCCCACTTCAAAAATTTTAATCAGTCTGTGATGATGTGTACATTGTTAAATAATGTTCAAAATTTCAAGTCTTTACAATCATTAGATCATGAGATATTCGTAGTTAAACTTTTTTTTAGGGCAACGGTGACTGTTGGTAAATTATAGACACCGTGATTTTACGCACAGTTCCTATAGAAGTCAGTACAAAATTTTCAATTTTTAAAACGCGCAATTTTGATCAAAATATCAAATGTGATACATCACCAAAAAAGAGATTTTATGCACTCAAAGAATATATAAGAATTTTTGTCGTATGTTAATTAGGTCACGTGACAGAGTTAAAAATCGTGATTTTCCAATGGCTGTAGAACCGGAAGTTAACGATGCACAACAAAAGTGAGGATATCATCGGATATATCTCGTAGGGGGCAACAACTTTTGTTCAGGTCACAAGGTCACCAAAGGTTAAAGTCACTAGATATGAGCATTAATATTTTTGACAATTACTGAAAACATAAAACCGGAAATAAAAAAAATACGAATCCAAAATTCAAAAATCGGCTTCCTAAGCTTTGTTAGCAATCGATTGCAGATTCTTTAGACACCAAAATCACACAAATCAGATTTACCCCTGAAGCTTAATATCGATTTTTACAAAAATTGGTCACATCAAGATGGCGTCTAACACGTTACTTCCGGTTCAAATTTTTTCATTCCAAAATTGTTATAGGGACAATTTTAACTAATTTCAAAAAGAATTTTTCAAATACCTACAAAATTCCGGAAGTTGAAATTTCAAGTTTAGAGGCGAACGACGTCAAAACCGGAAGTGATATCGAAATTTTGAAAATAGTGTGTCAGGAATCAAAATGCTTATCTACTATTAAATTTTTAGACCGATTGAATTAAAATTGTAGAAGTTGAAAAAAACGCTAAAATTAAAACAAAAAAAGTCAGCGACAAAAGTCAAAATCTGAAATTTTATAAAGTGCTATCTTTTAGTCATTGGTTTAAAGTAATGAACAAAAAAAAAGTTACGGTCAAAATAGATGCAGAATTAGAGCAGTAATTCGAAATACGTAATGAATGGTTAACGTCATACGTCATTTCCGATTGGAAGAAAATGCGTCATTTTACATTTAAACAGTAGCGACACGCAAAGTATAAGAAATAATAGTGTCAGACAATGTGTGACATGTGCAGTTTTGGCTGGGGAGCGTGACCAGAAGTATACAAAAAAAAAAAAATAGTCATTTGCAAAACAATGCAGTGCGTTCGAACGCACTGCAATGAATAATTTCATTCGCGTCATAAATGGATTTTATAAACCCGAAATATACTATACCGACACCGATAGTTTGTACATTTCATCCAACAATTGGAAAAAACTAAACAGAGCTGGTTTGATCTCCGAAAAAGACTATTGCAAAAGTAAAAACGATTACGGTGACGGTGGAATTACATTTGGTTTATATTTAGCACCCCAAAAGTCAAGTACAACATCGTTTTGACTTCTGATGGTGTTTTAAAAGAAAAGAAAACATTTAAAGGTTATTCTAATGATAAGATAAGTGTAAAAGGTTACGTTCAGTTAGCAAGCGGACATGATGTGTCGAATGAATTTAATAAACCATGGGAAAATAGTTTCACCAATGGAGTAGTTATTCCAAATGATAAACAAACTAAAGTTTTTAGAAGTTATTTGAATAATGTTAAAAGAAAACCACCAAACAGTGAAGGAATTATGTATCCTTACAACGACAAAGATGTATAATTTTGATGAAAACTATGAATTTGATGATTTCGATTATCTTACTATTCAAGAAGAGAATGAAGATTGTTTTAAATGAAGTTGAATGACAATTTCTTCGTTGCCAAAGTCTATGAACCTGCTTTTACCGTCTTTGATTTCCAGATTTATATCTTTGATCATGAAAGAATTGACTGGTAAATAGGTCGTTTGAAACGGTTTCTCTATAATTCTGTATCCGATTGGCACCGTAAAAGTCGGTATGCTGTATATGATTTGGCGTTTGTGCTTGTTGAAAAATCCACCGTTGATCAAATTACAGTGAATGTTGATCACGTCGATGTCGTTCTCGATGTTGGCTTTGTGCGGCGCCAATGTCGATTGCGCGTATATTCGTTTATCAAACCCTAGTAATTTTCTACGTTGAAATCGACTTGACTATTATTTCTCAAGATCAGTTTTATTTTGTTCAGATTCAAATTACCTTCGAATTCGATATTGTTTTTACCGCTCACGCTTCCTGCGTATTCGGATAGGTAATCGTTGATGGCTACGTATTCGTAGCTTCCCGGTAGTAAGCTTATGGGTTTGAACGTAACTCCGTTATCCATCGATATTTTTAGTTGATTGTTGTTTTCGTTGATATTTCTAATGGAATTGTAAACGGAGAAATACTTTAATCCCAGTTCGCACTGTTTATTGCGATCGAGTTCATACTCGTAGTCTAGAGACAATTTGATGTCTGATTTATTCGAGGTGAAAACGAACAATTGCTCTTTATTGGACATTTTTGATGACGTTTATATAGTCTTTTTTAGTGATGATTTTTTTCTCCAAAAGCCGTTTTAATATGCCATTGACTTCGTTGTATTGTCTGTCCGATCGATGATTCGGGTCCTGACTTTCTGATCGCATGTAGAAATTTTGAGTACGCTACTAAATCCTTGTAATCGGCAATTTCAACATCCTCGCCATTCATTAAATCTATTAACCCTCTCGTTAATGTAAATATAAAGTCTTTTGTGTCGATTTTGAATTGTGGTGAATTTCCACTAAATCTTATTCTAAAACCATTTAACAGCAAACCCACTTCATCAATGATTGGTGAAATGCTCTTTGGTAAATCTGGGTCAGGGTTTGAAAAATAACGTTTTATATCATCTAATGTCTTAATACCACCATATTCAATCGGTGGATCTTTATGAGGTGAAGGTTCTATAGCGAGTCTCTTTTTAATATCTTCTTGACTTTTTAATATTGGTTGAAATAGTCTGTAGATTTTCCGTTAATCCCAGTTGTTGTAATATGTTATTTTCAACTTGGGTCTTTATTTTATTCTTAGCTTTGATATATTCTCTATTTCCATTTAAAATATTATTCCAATCCGTCATTTTTTAAAAAAAAATAAAATTAACATATGTCTGTCATAACTCTTTCTCCCGCAGGTTTTCTAGTATTAACAAATACATATCCATGATCATCCGGGTTTCTCCATTGAGTTTTACAAACCTTTTTAAACGTGTCTCTGTCCATTCCGTGATTTATCGACTGAATGATTTGAGATAAATCTTTGTCGTTTAATTCGAATAATAAAAAACAATTTGCGTTCTTTCTGATAAACATGGCGTCCATTCCGTAGAAAGATTGGGATTGATATATGCAGTGACAATTGTGATGTCTTCCTTTCGTGAAGAATTCTTGTTGAACGGTTTGACTTTTTTGTGTCACGCAGTCGTCAAAGACAATCAAGTTCTTTCGGTGGTTGTCGATTTTAGACAAGTCTAAATCGTTGACATTTTTAGTCAGAAACACTT